CTTGTCGCGTCTGATAGAAAAGGAGGAGAAGTGAAAAACAGTTCAGAAAGGGAGAACGCCGAAGTTCGGAGCGCAGACGTTGCTGGATATGGAAAAGTGAAGCGTAATGTCGAACTTGCAAGTATGGCAAGGTCATTGTGTTATTTCCTTGGCGAGCTGACAAACGAAATGACAAACTTCCTTTGGCCTTTTTCTCTCTTGTTCCATTTTTAAAAAGTCACCATTTTACACGGCCACCACATAAGGCGAAACTTAAAACGTTCTTAGAGATAGAAACATCCCTTTTCCACATGACGAGGTCTTTTGGTGGAACTCAAAGGAAACAAATGCCCTGTCGTTTCTTTTCGACTGATCTTGCGATATAGTTTAATTAACCTGCGCTCTCGCAGGGCAGCAATTCTACAGGAGAACAAAGTGCCGGAGTTGGAAAGAAAGAGATAAAAGGCCGACCGAGTCGCCATCTTTTACGGAGTTGGCGGGACTCTTAAGGTTGTTTCTTGAGGAGGCACAAAAATCTTCTCCTATTCTGGTTTTTTAAAAAAAATGCACTGTATTTTTAACCAAGAATGGTTACAAATATCAGAGCATTGCATAATTTAAAATTATGGATGTTATGTTGGTAAAATTAAAACCACTTTAAAATGTTAAGCTTAATTAGGCTGTTTTTGACCAGAAATGGGATACTTTAGTAGTGTTCACTCAACCATTTGCTAGGTCTTCTTCTTTTGTCTATGTGTGTGTGTGGGGATCCATTGCATGTATGTGAGTGCTGCATGGATTGAATGTCTCCACAGTCACAGAAAATGTGTCCTATATCCAGGTAGCCCCATTTCACTTGATCGTTTTCGAACTTCCTACTTTGCTTCAAAGCCAGAGTCTTGTCCTGCTGGGAGACGCTCTTCAACATTCATCCATTTGGCAAGGTGTGTTGTTTCTGTTCTCCACAGAACAGCCTTACCTCTTCTGGTTTAATATTTAGCGCTTGAGAGGCATACAGAAAAGTTTTCCTGTTTTAGCTACTCTCCAGGGGGGTCGGTGTCCAACAGATATTGCACTGTAAACCTTGTGAATTAAGTCATCATAGCATGTATCCCTCTTTGCTCAGACCTGAGACAAGGAAGCCCCATGCACAGTCACAGAAAATGTGTCCTATATCCAGGTAGCCCCATTTCACTTGATCGTTTTCGAACTTCCTACTTTGCTTCAAAGCCAGAGTCTTGTCCTGCTGGGAGACGCTCTTCAACATTCATCCATTTGGCAAGGTGTGTTGTTTCTGTTCTCCACAGAACAGCCTTACCTCTTCTGGTTTAATATTTAGCGCTTGAGAGGCATACAGAAAAGTTTTCCTGTTTTAGCTACTCTCCAGGGGGGTCGGTGTCCAACAGATATTGCACTGTAAACCTTGTGAATTAAGTCATCATAGCATGTATCCCTCTTTGCTCAGACCTGAGACAAGGAAGCCCCATGCCTTCAAAATCAGTGCTTCCCAACCTTTTCAAGTTGTAATTTGTTGTTTCGTCGTTAAGTCATGTCCGACTCCTCGTGACCCCATGGACCAGAGCACGCCAGGCCCTCCCGTCTTCTACTGCCTCCCAGAGTTGGGTCAAATTCATGTCGGTTGTTTTGATTACACTGTCCAACCGTCTCATCCTCTGTTGTCCCCTTCTCCTCTCGCCTTCACACTTTCCTAACATCAAGGTCTTTTCCAAGGAGTCTTCTCTTCTCATGAGATGGCCAAAGGATTGGAGCCTCCGCTTCAGGATCTGTCCTTCCAGTGAGCACTCAGGGTTGATTTCCTTCAGAACGGATAGGATTGTTCTCCTTGCAGACCAGGGGATTCTCAAGAATCTCCTCCAGCACCACAATTCAAAAGCAACAATTCTTTGGCTGTCAGCCTTCTTTATGGTCCAGCTCTCACTTCCATACATCATGACTGGGAAAAAACCATACCTTTGATTATGCAGACCTTTGTAGGCAAGGTGATGTCTCTGCTTTTCAAGATGATGTCTAGGTTTGTCATCGTGCAATACCCTCTTATAAAAGCCAAGTAACCTCTGAGCCCCCACCACCACATTTGCATTAAATAGTGGGGACACCTGGATGCATCATGTATTCTGAGTTTTGGTTTGAAATTGAGTTTACGATTTTTTGGTAAGTTATTTTTTCTTTCTTTTCTGTCTTATTGTTTCTTATGGTAATAAACAAATTTTAAAAGATATTTTTAATGGGGTACAGTCAACCCTGCTCAGAAAGTAGAAGTGTTTCCCCCCCCAATGCCTGTTTCTCATACATACACATGAACGTTGGTCTCTCACTCAAGGGGGAAGAAGTTGATTAACAAGGGGTGTAACACAGATAAGGTGAACCCCCAGATTCGAAAACACTGTTCTCAATGTTTTTGACGAGGATTCCTTCCATCCTTTAACACTAAGGGAGGTTGTAGTCCAAACTGCCGGAGAGCAACTGGTGCTTTTTAACACCCTTTTAATGTATGAGCCATTGTCTTGTATGAATCCACCCAGGAGATCTCACAATAACACAAAGAGAAAGAATATGCCGTACACCCTCTGTTCTGCACTGATCAGCCCTCATTTAGAGAGTCCTGTGTCCAGTTTTGGACACCACACTTTGAGAAGGAGGCCAACAAACTGGAGCAAATTCAGAGGAGGGCGACAAGGAGGATGATCAGGGGGCTGGAAACCAAGCCCTCGGAGGAAAGGTGGCAAGCACTGGGCATGTCTAGCCTTAAGAAAAGAAGATGGAGGAGAGAGACGACAGTACTTTTGAAAAGTTTTGAATAGTGGTCCTACAGAGGAGGGGCAGGATCTGTTCTCCATCATCCCTCTAAGCTGGGCGTGCACAAACACATGTCTCGCTGCCTCCCTGCGTGCAGTTGCCTTCTCCGCGATCAACCTGAGAATGGCAGCCATTCACTCAGAGAAAAGTTGCCTGAAGAGAAAAGCCTTTGCCTGCTTGTAGAAGGACAGTAAAGAGACGGGGGTGGTCCTACAGAGGAGGGGCAGGATCTGTTCTCCATCATCCCTCTAAGCTGGGCGTGCACAAACACATGTCTCGCTGCCTCCCTGCGTGCAGTTGCCTTCTCCGCGATCAACCTGAGAATGGCAGCCATTCACTCAGAGAAAAGTTGCCTGAAGAGAAAGGCCTTTGCCTGCTTGTAGAAGGACAGTAAAGAGATGGGGCAGCCTGGTCTCAAGTGGGAGGGAGTTCCAGAGTCTCTGGGAGCAGCCACCGAGAAGGCCTTCTCTTGTGTCCACACCTGTGAAGGTGGGGCTGAGAGAAGGGCTTATCCTGATGATCCTAACATTCGAGCAAGCTCATCAAGGGAGACGCGGCCTTTGAGATAGCATGGACCCGGGCCATTTAGGGCTTTATGGGTCAGAACCAGCACTGTGCTGAAAATAAATTTAAGAAAGAGGGACGCACATTAGAGGTGTCGCTTCAGAAATATATCCTCAGTCCAAAATCTAGAGTTAGTGCTGAAAATAAATTTAAGAAAGAGGGACACACATTAGAGGTGTGTCGCTTCGGAAACATATCCTCAGTCCAAAATCTAGAGTTAAATGGCTTTGCTCAGCTGTGGCTGGCGATTTAGGATATCTTCCATAATTACCATCATGCGCCATCATGTCAATTCTGAGTGATGATAATCCTTTTCAAGGTTTTCCAGGTAGAGAATACAGTGGTGCCTCGCATTGCGACGTTAATTCGTTCCAGAGAAATCGCTGTTGAATGAAAACGCCGTAATGCGATATAAAAAAAGCCCATAGAAACTCATTAAAACACGATTAATGCGTTCCTAGGGTCTTCAAACTCACCGTTCAGCGAAGATCTTCCATAGCGCGGCCATTTTCACTGCCTGTTAAGGGAGGAATCTGCCCCAGAAAACAGCAGGCGGCCATGTTTTTTCCCCGGCAGCCATTTTGAAACCGCCGATCAGCTGTGTGAAAATGGTTGTTTTGCGATGATCGGTCATCACAAAGCGAAAATACCCCATAGGGAACATTGTAAAGCGAGCGCAAAAAGTTCGTCGCAAAGCGATTTTGTCGCTAAACGGAGCGCTCACTAAGCGAGGCACCACTGTACTTAGATGTGGTTTCCTATTCCTTTCTCCTGGAAGGGATCCCTAGGACTGGGCAGCTGGCCCAAGGCCACCCAGGCTGGCTCTTCTCCCTAGAGATGCACTGTGGGGGAAATCGAACTCCCAACCTTTGGCTCCGCAGCCAGAGAACTGAACCACTGAGCTCTCCAGCCAGCTAAAATTTATAAATGAATGGCAGTAAATAAATAAACAGGGTGTCCAAAATTCAATTAAGTAACAAAGGCATCGATTCCTATTTAAACCCCTGGATTTGGTTTGGAAGTTAATCTAAAATGAGTGCAGTTGTGAAAATTATGGAATTACACAAAATAATGGCCTTTTAAAATAAAAGTTACAGAACCGTGCAGCTTCATTCTGCCAAGGATCTCAGCATAGTAATATAATGTAAATTTAAATACCAGTTTGATTGTTGAACACGTCACTCTTTCAATGTAAACATAAACTAATTAGATTGCCCCCCCCATTCTTAATAATTAACTTAATGTGTTATTCCTTTCTCAGCATCTTTTTCAATTCTGGTCACTCCCACACCTTTTTTTTTTTTTACATAAATTCCATCTGGATTCTGCTCTTATAAGAAAATCTTTTCCAAAAGTGTGTGTTTATTTACATGTGTGTATCTGCTCATAAATGTCAGTGTTAAAATGAGCATTTTAATGTGTTTGAATGGCTCCCAACAGACATGGTGGCATCCGGACATCCCCAGCAGGGAAGTGAAACTCCAGGTGCCAAAGTTGCAAATTGTGGCCCGGTCAATAACCAGACTGGGTGGGGGATTTTGGAATCTGTAGTCCAATGGAACGCCCTCCCAAATGGCACCCTCTATCTCAATAACTCACCCTGAGATGTTAATAGAAGAATGAAACGTTTCTTTACTTATGGTTGGACAGATCAAACAGCAAACTCAGAAGACGACTGCTTTCAGCAACAGTCCTCAACAGACTGACTTCCAACAGGCTAAAACATAAGGAAAGAAAAAAACCCTGAGCAAAGTGCTGGGGTGCTCGTTGAATTCAAAGCCAAGGAAGGAACGATTAGTTAGTGCTGTATAGACTGACAGTCGTGGCTAGCCCACAAAGGTCCTTCCTAGCCACACCTACTAAAGGCTGCATGTGAGGTTGTGAAAAAGAAACCAACCCCAACCTTTTCTATAGAGTCATTTTGTTGCAGGTCTATTTCGTGTCATTCTAACAGCTGTGAGGAAGGGCAGCCAATGGGAAATTTGAATCCTCTCTCCTTGTTTCCCTCTTAGATTGCCTTCTTATTGCCTCTCTCTCTCTCTCTCTCAATACTTTATGCTGTTGTATCAGGGCCAAAGGAGATACCAAAGGGGCAAAAGAGATCAAGGAGTCAAGGGACACCAAGGAAGAAATTGCTAATCAGCACTTATTCGCAACTGTTAAGGTAGCTCTGCTGCAGCCATGCATCCTGCATATCTGGACAGCCATAGCAGAGCTACCTTAACAAACTGCAAACAAAGCCGGCTGCCAATTTCCTGCCCTCTCTCTTCGGTCTCCTGTGTGATCAGATAAAGTGGATTCATCCAGGAAAATCTGAGTACCCGGGGGTGACTTCGCAATAGAGCCATTCACATTTTTCCCCAGTGTAGTAGCACCCCGGCTGGCTGATTGGGCTAATTAGGTTAATCTGTTTCTAGGGTTGCCAGCTAGAATAGTTCCAAGTTTCCTGGTATCAGACCACCCCTTTCTCATTAACCGGCACCCTCAGTCTTAATGATTCCCTGGAAAGGACAATACAAGAGAATCAGCATCTGCAATTTCACTATCTGTGGTCTGAAAATATTAAAAGAAAAAAGTAGAAATAGGTACAGTATTTTCACAATGCATTTATCAGAACTGGCCACTAGAAGGAGCCAGTTCTGGTAATACAGGGTGAAAATACCTTTTTTTCTGGATTTTTTCCTTTTACCCTGCTATGTATAGCATTTGCTATGAAAGTGCTACTGTAATGCTGTTTTACCATGCTATGTATAGCATTTGCTATGAAAGTGCTACTGTAATGCTGGGAAAAACTGAAGGCAGCAAGGAAAGAGGAAGACCAACTATGAGACAGATTGACTCTATAATGAAACCACAACTTTTGAACTTGCAGGAGCTGAGCCGGGCTGCTGAGGACGGGTTATTTTGGAGATCGTGCATTCATGGATGGGGTTGCTGTCTGTCGGAAGTGACCTGATAGCCCATCACAAGAGCCACAATTAATAAAATAATCATTTCAGTTTGCTGCGCTCCGCCTCAAAACGAAGACAGAAGGCTCTACTTTACGAGCCAAATGACCCCCATAGATAGAAAAGCAGACTACAGTAGCGTGGAATAGAAGCTCGCCTGCGTGGCTTTTTGCCCTGCGTTGACTGTGCGAATGGCGTCGTTTGAAGAGATACGCAAAGGCCAGATCAAGGCCAGACCCCTCTCGTCGCCCCCCCGACTTCCCCCACCTCCTGAAAGAGTTAATTGCCGTGACCCATATATGGAGGCCCATTTTAAAGTTGCTGGAAATTGCTTTTTAATCCTCGCTCTTGAGGATTGTCTCTCCAACCATCTGCCGGCAAGCCACCAAGGGTGGACGGGCCGGATTGTTGTGATTATCAGGAGAGATGGACGTTCTTCTTCTTCTTCGGGCTTGTCTTGCGGGGAGTCAAAAGATCTCCCAGCAAAAATGGCAGAGGATACAGCGATGGGGCTGTTGCACGGGGGACACACCCCCTCCCCATCCACTAAACACAAATAAATAAAGTGAGGTCCCTCCCCAAAAACTAGACTCATCAAGACCCAAACCGGTCTGTGTTCTCCTTCTTTTCTACTTCTCCAGTTATCAGGGAAACAATAAATAAATAAATAAACGGGTCAGGGAGCGGGTGTGCATGCAGGGTTTGGAAATGCTATTTTGGGGGACTACAGGGCCCAGCTTCCCCTAGCCAGCTAGGCCCTGTAGTACAGAAATGAAATGCCTGCACCACCACCCCCAAGTGTGTTTTTGTGATGCATGGTGGTAGACCAAGAAATGACGGCAGTTCTTCCATGGAACACTCTCTAAGGAATTTCTGAACTTTTGACGTGCCCGGGGAGGTCCGGCTTTGGAATGGAAATACCCCCATTCCATTGTGGATAATTGCTTCAGGAGGATTTCCCAGTTGTGCCAAAGGCTACAGGGTGGAGGACAATATGGACTCATAGTTTAGCAGGTGTAGCCGGCGGACTGATGGACAATGACTCAGGAGCCCAGGGTTCAAATCTCCTTTAAGTAATGGAAACCAGACCCTTAGGTTGGGAAAAGCAGAAGAAAATGCAAAATGCAGGGACTGTGGAGCTTTATGGGGAGGCCTTATTCCCCATTATGGGAGTCCTTCCTGACAGACACCTCTATGTGGCTCACCTGGGAGAAAGGCCTCTAACTGAAAGGCTCTGAGGCTGAACTAGGCCTAGCTTCCTGTTTGGAAAGAAAGCTCCCAGCTAGCACTGGGGCGGCAATAGGAAGTTCGGGCAAAGCTAGGCCCAGCTAGGCATCAGCCCCTTAACATTTAGGCCTTTCTCTCAGCCAGGCACACTGAGCTGTCAAGTGGAAATCACAGAAAGGATAATTATGGGATTTGTAGTGCAAAAATAAATATATTCCCAAATTATATCTTTACTAGAGGGTCAAATTTGGTCCACAGGCCAGACTTTTTGCCGGGACTTGAGATCCCTCACCCTTTAACGGCAAAGAAATTGGTGTGTTCTTATTCCATCCCATAATTCTCCATTCCCCACCTACTCCTGCAGACATCTCTTGCGAATGCCCCCTATCTCCCTTTTTAATGGCTGTTCTTCTTCACCAAGACCAACAGCTGAGCAGTTTCCCCTTCTACGAGATTTCAGTGGCAAAATGCCATTTTCGCACACAAAGTCCTACTGAAGGCTGGGTCACAACGCCCACCTCCCCTGTTTGACTAGAGATACTGGCCCAAGGTGACCTCCAGATCTAGGGGCCACCAGCCCCACCACCCCCATAACTTCTTGCTCCCACCTACTCATAAGATTCCAGAAGCAACAGATGCATTTAATTTACAATGGGGCATTTGCAGCCTGGGGGTGGATTCTGACACCTCCCCACCGCCAACAGACATCAGGGAACAGGAGAAAGACTCAGCATAAAAGCCGGTATTTTTTTTTCTTTTGCTAATGTTGAAAACAAGGCCTTTGATGGGAGATTATTATGGGACAAAGGAAGCTAGTAAAAAAGCAAAATGAAACAGTGGCACCAGTCTGGATGAAAGCTGAAAGGAGTGGTAATTTCGCATTGATTGCTGCCTGGCAGACTTCTCTTGCCTTCCCCCCCCCACACACACACACACTAAAAGCAACACATC